TTTAAAATTTTAAAATCTAGTTTAAAAATAAATAATATTTAGTTTAATCTTTTAAAAAAATAATTATATATATAGCAAAATTATTTATATAATTAAAAAAAAAACTCAATAGAATTTAAACACTAGATATATAACCCCTTAATTATAATATAATTTAATCTAATTATAAGTATTGTTTAGAAAAAATAAAAAGCTAGCAGAAAAATAGACTTTTATTAAAACGCTTCTATAGTATCTATACATAATCTCAGAAATTAGCTAATTAATCTATGCGAGGTATTCTAAGTAAAAATGTTCTAAACCTTTTCCAAACTCTAACTCTAATATAAAAATTTATATTAACAATTTTATATACAAAACTTGGAAAAATATATATAAAATAATAATAATAATTATTATTATTAATCTATTTAATAAATTAAATTATAAATTTTATATAACTATAATAACATATAGTTATTTCAGATATTAATAAAGTTTTTTTTTATAATTAGAATTAAATAAATATTAATACTATACAATAAAGTTTTTTTTTTATAGTTAGAATTAGAGTAACTATTAGATTATAATGTTTAAAGTGTATAATATTTTTTAAAAGTAATAAATTGATATAATTATAAAGAATGAATTTTAAGATTAATGCAAAAACAATTAACTAAATCTGGAGATCATAGAAGTTGTAACTTACCTAACAGAAGTAAACATGTTTGTCAAATAAAAATTTCGCGCGAACAATTTTTAATGTGTTCGGGTGAATTTTAAAAAGAAATTTTATATGCTTTTAATATTTTCCTAAATACGTGTAAAAAAAAAATTTGTGATTAAAAACTGAAAGCTGGTCGAGCGGGTTACCTTAAAATTTAACAATATTAGGTTCAATTTAATAATTTTTTGGAACTGGATTATAATATTCATTAAAGAGAATTAAGAATTTAAAAAGCTAATAAATGTAAATCTTTGAGATGAAAACCTTCAAAAAAAAAAAACTTTTTTTTTTAAAGACAGTATTACAAACAACTATAATTACAATTAAAACTTGATGATAAATAATAAGAAATAACAAATTTAATTTGAAATTATAAACAGAGATGAACATATAACACATGAAAAAGTGAAAGCACTAATAAATTACCAATGAATATTTTCCCAATTCTTAATACCCTAACCAACATCATATATTATCATACCAACATTTTAAGAAAAGTAACATCCTTCTATAATCATCTAATCATACACATTTTCAATTTAGCAGATTTCATCATTATTATCAGGACCAAGCAATTTTGATTCATTCAAAACAGTTTGTTTATCTAAACATTCGCTGTTTACACTCATGTCCACAAAATACCTATGAGGATGATAGATGGTGTTCTTTTGTAAAGACCAAGTAAAATTTGGAATTACTTTGGTCAAATAAATTCCAATCTCATCACCAAAAGTATCCAATATTGCATAACCATTTTCAGCATATGGTTTAACAATATTTACAATGCAAGCGGCGTCCGGATTTACAGAAAATTTTGATTTATTACGTTGTGGAAAAACGATTTCAACGTAAATATCAAAATTATCACGAGCAGTAAGCATAGCAGATTTTAACATTAAGATGAATGAATCAAGAGTTGAAGATGGAGGGTATTGCTCTTTTGGTTTTGGAGGAATAGTATAAGGAATTTGAAAATAATCAAGTTCAGCTAGTACTTCTTGATAAGGGACAGCATTAGGACATTGACAATGACATCGCAATTGGGGTAATAAATCTTGTGAAGGATAATGGTCAATATATGAATTATAAAAATCATTTTGTTTGAAAATAGTTCATGGTGATTTCTATTTAAATAATTAAG